TTATCTGGGAGCTAAACAGTGTTTGATTTTGTACGAATTTATCTAATTTTTTATATGGCTGAAGAGCATGATTCAGATTAGCAGGTTAAAAAAAAAAATAAAAAAAAATTGACACACAATCTAATCGCTACTCATAATTGGGGACTCATTTTTTATTTTTTTTGAATTTTTTTATTCACACGAGACTCACAAGCATAAAAGACGGTGTCAACCAAAGTGACAAAAAATTCTAAAAAACCAGCTCAATTCACATGACTTATAAGTTGTCATTCAATAAGTCTATGGGTACGGGAAATACCCACAGAATTCTTGCAGGAATTTGAATGTGATAAGGAAGTAGCTTCAATTAGTATATGTTGAGCCACATTCTAAGAAAAAATGTATTATTTATGTTAAATCATTGAGAAATGTGTTAAAAATAAAGAAATGTTTTAGATTTGCGTGTATATTATTTTATTGAAAAATGTGTGATTGAAATAATGTCAAATCACTGTTGAAAATGTATTTTTTGAAAATAATGTGATTCAAACAAACCCTTAACTTGTTTTTAAATTTACCAAAACATAAATCCAAAAATTCGAGCCCAATAACAAAATCGATTTGACCCATGAAATGAATCATTTCTCCCAAATTTTCCATTTTCCCCAAATCACATAGCCTCTCCCGCTACTTTCTTCATCATGAATAGGGGTGGGCGCGTGTAGGTTCTAAAGAGAATTGAACCGAATCAAAATTTTTGGTTATCTAGTAAATGGAACCATCGGGTCCAAATATAATTATGGAACCGTTCGGGTTCGATTCGGTTTGGTTCGGTTCCGTTCGGTTCTATACTATAATTAAATTTTTTTTAAAATTTATGACAACATTATATAAATACAACTAATGATACATTCAATGATTTTGGAATGTCAGAGACTAGTAGACTACCTTGTTCAAATGATTGCTACGGTCAAAGTTTTGGTCGACGAAGGTCTTAGCTTCGATTGGAGGTCACGGCGTCGACCGACAATTGTATAGGTTTTGAAATGTTAACGAGGCTGTAAGAGTGAGTGTGAGAGTCGAGACAACGTTATGTACTTTAGTGTAGGCGTTTTGGGTTATTTAGTGGATTAGATCTTGTTGGGCTAAGAAACGAAACAATAAAATGGGTAATTAGGCCAAAAATTTGGATTTAAAAATTATTAATTTGTTTAGAAAAAATTAAAATAATTTTACTTACTCAATATAAAAAAATAGAAAGATTCGATTCTTCGGTTCTTGGTCTAGAAACGAGAACCGAACCGTACCCGTCGGTTCTCAATTCAGATACCCGTTTGGGTATTTAATTCGACAAGAACCATCGGATTCAATTCAGTTCGGTTCGGGTTCAATTCAGGAGATTTGCCCAGTCCTAATCGTGAACCCGAATGGAGTTAATTGTTCTAATGGTCATTGAATTTAAGTCCATATCTTTGATTATTTATTAAAGTTTAAAATGTCAAGTTCTGATTACTAAACTTAGGTTTATGTTTTGCTTATTGTAATTTAAAATATCGAGTTTTAATCACTGAACTTGTAAAAAATATTGTATATTATTCACTGTAAATTGGATATTTTTCAAAATTCAACATTTATGCTAGTGAGTAAAGTACGGCATTTTAAATTTCAGTGACCAATCAAAGATATGAGCATAAGTTCAGTGACCATTGGAACAATTAATTCAAACGAAGTAAATACACCAGCTGCGTGATTGTCCCCGCCGGCTGACACAAACGAAGAGCATACATCACAAGCACTTCTGTCCCATCGTTTTGGTATACGAAACAATATCTTCCACACGCGATTTTGGGCCCTCCCTTCACAGCCCTGGTACTGATTCACAAGGTTCATTCTCTTGCTTCATCTGTAAGATATATTTCCTACCTTCTAAGTTTTATGTATGATTCCTTGGGTTTAGGAGTGAAGATTTTTGGTAGTAGATATAGTTCGAATGATCTCGTATTTCCTGTCAAAGGAATTGAACGATTTTTGATGTGTGAATCGTTAGATTTAGGAATGAAAAATTCTCATATGTGGGCTGGCTGCGTTCTTTGAATTCTGACAGGGAAAAAATATGATTGGGAATGACGTCGAGATTTAGAATTTTAGAGTTGTATATGTGTTGGCTACAACTACTGTCATTTTTCAACTTCTTAATTAACAAAGGAAAATGCTTGTGATGGAGAACATCCACTTTTTACCTCTTTATTTTCGAGTTTTTGAGTAAAGTCTTAAGTTTGAGTAGTTATAGCACTGCATGACTGGAATATAATGGTTATGATTTGTTCATTGTCTAGTTTAATTTGACAGATCCATAACTAATTTTTCACTCTATTTCAATATAAGTTCCAACGTGGATTCCAGAATTCAGTTGCATTCATATGGGTTTATTTGTTTCTTCTATAGTTGTTGATTAGAATGAGAGGAAGGAATTTTGGAGTTTGTCACGACTGTAGAACTACCACTCACTACTTTGGACAATACTAAACAAAATGTGGATGCCCTTTGTGTAAATGTGGATTTCGAAAGTGTTTTGAGGTCGAACATGATACTGGAAACGAAAAGAGCTCGTTCTTCACGTGTAATAACAACTGTGGATATTTTAACTCTGTGAAAAATCAAGATTTAAGTGGAAAATCAAGTATTGTTAATGACGCAGTGACTCATGAGCCCAACGAGGAATATGAAGACTTGCCAATAATCTTTAATAGTCTAGCACAAATTATCGAGAAACGAGACATCGATTTATCACTGCACTCAACATTCACAAAGGTAAAGGAATTTCCAAATGTTATGGGAAAAGAAAGGGACCGACTTGAATGGGTGATGTTAATTTGTATTTGATATATGCTTTGTTTGTAACGTATGAACTTCTTGTCATAGTAAGCTTTAATGTACAATGGTTAATTTTGTCAACGTCGTCCGAGCATTGGATGTAAGTTTACTATTTTGCAAATCATTTTAATATATTAATGGTTTGGATATATGTTTCTTATCATGGTTTATCTTGCGAATCATTGTAATATATTAACGGCATGGATATATGTTTCTTTTACGACATGGAAAATAAAAAGATAAAACTCTAATTCTTCAAAATGTGGATTTGTGGAAGATGTAAAAAATAAAAAAATTCATTCAGTAGCAAGTAACACAGTTGGAATGTGGAATAATATGATCTTGGCTTATGTTAATTGTGAATGCCCTCACTGTACATTGGAAGTCTATTATTAGATGCGATTTAGAGTAATCACACCTAATTCTTTCACCATATCCAATGTATTGATAGCTTGCAGTATGATTGGATCAATTGCGTTTGGTAGTTCTCTGATAGAGTTATATTCAATGATGAAGGTTTGTATCTATTTCTGTTTCGCGCGGGTTAACTCGCTAACAATTAAAGAGGATCAGACGATTGTGTAAGGGACGAAACCTCTTGAGACAAAGTCCCAAAAAGGGGTGTTCCTTTTATTGGCGATGAACTTTACAATTGGAAACGGAAAACAATGTGCCTCCAAGGGGCGCAAGCACACGAGTTACAGAAAAGGAAGTGTTTAAGTCTAAAAGCTAAAGAAATGAAAATTACATATTCTCTGTTTGAGAGTTTTGGATTCGGTCCTTTTCTTCTATGTTCTTTCTCCCTTTTATACTTCATAGGCGATTCCTTTGTGATTAACTGCTCTAAAAAACTGCTTGATCGCCTTATAACTACCCACTTTCTTTGTAGTGGCCATTTTGTCATGAAACTGTCCTTTTAACTGTTGCCATTATCTTGCATCGTTCAACCGCTTTCGATTGAACCCCTTGAGTCGTGGAACGTGGTAGGTTACTTTAGCAACTGCCTCAATAACTGCATTTCTTGATAATCATAATGCGTTATGTTTGTTGATACTTTTGGCGACTTGAAAATTTGGGCGAGACTCTAGGCGACCGTATGCCACTCTATTCGTTCAGACTCTGAGCGACCTGCAAACTTGGGCGATGACGTTTACCGCACTATTGGCCCCCTTATTTGGGCCTTCACCTTGAGTCNTAAACACAATAATTTACAATTCCTAGAAAAATAATTTCTAGGCAATTTAATTCCCTGAAATTTATTTTCTTTCCACCCAAATTCCATTTTCACAATCAAACGGATCCTTACAGTCAATATTATTTTATAAATTAACATAGGCAGAAACATTTGACAGGCAGATAACTTGGAGAGTTGGTGATCGATAACTCGCTAAAAATGGAATCAACCAGAGCTAGCAATTACATTTAACTATTAAACCTAGGGTTGGGAAAATCTCCCAACCGAACCGAACCCGACGGTTCTTGTCAAATTAAATACTCGAATGAGTATCTGAATTAACAACCGACGGGTACGGTTCGATTTTCGGTTCTAGACTAAGAACGGAATCTTTCTAATTTTTTTTAAATTGAGTAAATCAAATTATTTTAATTTTAATTTGTTTCTAAACAAATTAACAAATTAATGATTTCTAAATCCAAATTTTTGGCCCAATAATTCGTTTTATTTCTAATTTTTTAATTTTTGGCCCAATTACCCATTTTATTGTTTCATTTTTTAGCCAAACAAAATCAAATCCACTAAATAATCCTAAACACCTACACTAAAGTGCATAACGTTGTCTTGGCTCTCGCAGCCTCGCTAATATTCTAAAACCTATACAATCGTCGGCCGACACTCTGACCTCCGATCGAAGCTGTGACTTTCGCCGACCGAAACTTTGATCGTAGCGATCATTTGAATAAAGTAGTTTACTAGTCTCTGACATTCTAAAACCATTGATTGTATCATTAGTCGTATTTATATAACGTTGTTATAAATGTTAAAAAATTTAATTATAGTATAGAATCGAACGAAACCGAACCCGAACGGTTCCAGAATTATATTTGGACCCGACGGTTCCATTTATTAGATACCCAAAAAGTTTGGTTCGGTTCGGTTCTTAGAACCGAACCGACCCGCGCCCACCCCTAATTAAACCCGTATATAGAAGTTGGATTGCTCGAGAAAGCTGCAAACTTAAGGGTATTGAGGAGGTAAAAAGGACTGACAAAGGTCCCTGGATGCAGTTGGATGGGACTTAAAAATAAGGCTGATGCAAATCGACTAAATGTAAATGACGTAACTTTGATGATGTAAAATACATTGAAATAAAATGTGTGCAAATATACCTTTCTAGCTAGAATCACAAGTTTTTGCCACCTTGATCGGTAAAATGTTCATAGTAGTATGGCATGACATGACCTATAGTACAAGACGAAAATTAGTATATGCTTTAATTAAAGGACAACACATTTATTACAAAGAACTATATTTGTATTTGCTTTTGACCGTTCACAATTCCATTAGTGGGCTCGCGGGTGGATAAAAGTTGAATATGGGTTTTCTTTGACAGCTTCATTGGCATTGTCACTCTACATGAATAACACCCTGTTTAACATTCCAACCCAATTAAATGAATTAACATGTTATACTTACCAATAGGAGTTGTGAATATGAGAATGGGGATGGCATAGATAATTGCGATAGTCAAGATGCCTCGGAATCAGTTGTAGCCTTTTCTGTAGTACTAGGCCTAGACATAGGCCTCTTTCATGTGCTTGAAGCTGATGTGGACTGCATGTTCATCAACTTAAATCAAAATTTTGACTCAAATTCCCAGTCAATTGAATAGGAAATGGATAAAAATACCTTCACTGAAGTTGACTCCAATGGACCTTGCTTTCGAAGTTTTCTTGGCCCTCTTTTTTTGTACGACGATTTAGGGTCCAATATGCTCATGCTGCCAGTATTTTGAGAATCGTTACGAGTAGAGGCCAAACAAATAATATGCGAAGAAAATACAGTGCGAAGCACCCGCATGTGTTCTACTTGCAATTTTATCCATTCCATTATAGCACGTGACCACCCTTGTCATCTGCTGTGAGGTCTGCCACCTCCGAAAGCCTGACACATATCGTAGTATCTTACCTGTCCCGAAGTACTTCCTAACTTGTTATAATTGACTTTGACCCTCGTGTGTGCTCTTTTGACATCTCTCCTCCATCTTCATAGTATATACCTATCAGACATTGACATGACATCATTGCATATCAAGACTATGATTGCATGCTTGTAAATGATTCCCTGAAACTCGAACAAGTGGCAACTACAAGTCAATTTGCATGTATCCCTCCAAAAATGAGAAGCAAAATGTTTTTTCTTCTAGTGCTCATGTTGTACGATATGCTCATGAACCTCGTAGTTATTCCAAAAATATTCATCTTTCTGAGATATAACGTCAACATATACTTTCCCAGTGAACTCATTTTGAACTTCCTTGAACTTTGAAATGGTCTAGACCGATTGAAATTGCTTTTTCATTTCAAAAGTTGTTGCATATGGTACCATTTGTGAAAATGACTTAAAATCTTCGAATGCACATATCCATCGAAAAATGCGTTCGTACTCTTACTTCGTTGTGTTTGGATATACCCGCCCAGAAAAGTGATTTTTAATAAACAAGGAACCTAATGACCTCTGTTATCGTAGAATATCGACAACCAATCATTATCATGCAAGTCATACGTGTCGAGCATCACCTTCCAACCGTGCTCGAATTCTTCAACAAACTGTGAATCATATACTAAACCGTCTATAGGAAAAAATATGGAGCCCTTATAAACATGGTAGCAATACTTTTCTGGCAACTTCTTCAAAATGTGCTACAAATACCATCTATGCTTCGTATTCGGAGAAACAATATTGATTGCATTTTGCATTGTCCTATTTTAATAAGTAACTATGCCATTAGGAGTTTACATGCACTCAGTCATGTCCTAAACAACCACACAAAACTTCTGGTGTCCTCGTTCGATAACAATCCACAACCAAGCATTGTTGCTTGACTGTGATGATTTACGCCAACAAAATGGGTAAATGGCATGTTATACTTATTAGTGAGATACATAGTATTAAAAGTGACAATGTCAGCAAACTGCTTGTAAGATTGCCTATATCCATTATCTGCTTAAAATACATTTTTCAATCGTGACTCATTATCTATGTCCATACTAAAGTAAAATCTTGAGCATCTTGCTTGCATCCTTTGCATCTTTGAAAAAGATGCTTATATTGCGATGGCATCTCCTTTTTCAAGTCATGTTTCACTTGTTTGATATAGTTCCGACAATTCAGCAATTCTTCTCCACGAACATCATATTCTCATATCCACTTATTGCCACAACTGCAGAGTTAAAACTCGTGTGCAAGGGGATTCTTGCCATATCATTTAATTCGAGCTTTCATTTCACACTTGCAGTCAATTTTTGGTTGCATCAATACAACCTAAACTTAGAAAGACTTGTTTTACGATTGTACTCGAAGTATACTTTGTTAATTCTCCATATTCCAAGACTATCTAAAGAATCATATATTCTTGCTTTACAATCTGTCTGTCTTGTTGGTTGCAATTTCAAAGAACTGTCGTAGCATAAATTCTTCGACCTTTACGACTACATGTGAACATCATATATCTCATAACTCCATCGTCCCCCTTTTTAAACGACGTAAGCATATTTTTTGTAGAAGTCCAACATTTCTTTTTTCACTATTTATCATACCCACCTCAGATTTAGTCACAACATCTCCTCCTAATTTTTCGTTGTCTAATGTGTTCAAATTGGCCATTATGTCATCGCTATCACATTCTACCAATAAATCATGATTATCATCTTCCATAATTTATTTTCCTGCAACAAAAATTCTAATTTTGTTAGAAGTTGCAAATTATATGTAACTAAAACCAAAACTCTGCCACTAACATTAATTAACTTGCCTGGGATGAAAAAATAGTATTTATGAATTTCTATATGAGGATACTATTTTGTTATTTGGTGTACCTAATTGGAGGGTTATTGTTCCATTATATGGAAATTGAACGTTCATAAATATGCAATTAGAGAGCTACAAATTGATTTTTTTGTTCAATATGATAAAAATTCAGTAATCAATTGGTTGCATTACTCTAACAAAAGAAATGATTGTATTGGCATTCCCACAACGAAGGTCGACAGCTTTATGCACGTTATCGACTAATGGTTCTGTTATTTTCTCTCAACCGCAACAACCTACCCCTTCTAGTGTCACGGTCACATACGAGGTTAAGATTCATTTACTACTCTCTTTCTCTTAAATTCAATAAAACCAGGATAATTTTTCCACCATCTTTTAGGATCTAAATTGTCTACAAATTCAACTATTAACCGGAAAAACCCAAGTGTAAGCTAAGCTATTTACAACCAAGAACCAAAATACCTTTGTCCATAATCTAGGTTTCGACTGTCGTCTTCCACGTATAAGCTAACTTATTTAGAACCAAGAAGCAAAATACCTTTGTCCATAATCTATGTTTCAACTGTCATCTTCAATGTATAAACTAACTTATTTAGAACCAAGAAGCAAAATACCTTTGTCCATAATCTATGTTTCGATTGCCACTTCAATGTATGAGCTAATCTATTTAGAATTAAGCAAAATACCTTTGTCCATCATCCAGGTTTCGACTTCCCTCTTCAAATACAATTTTGATGTTGGGTTTCGGTGGGCTTTCGTCTTCACACTACGGTCGATGGTGCACGGTAGGCATTTTGCTAGCGGTGACAATCACGTGGCTGAAGGATTTGCTTCGGGTTCAAGATTAAGAAAGTGGCATGGAAGCTCTATGATTTGGGGAAAATGGGAAATTTGGGATTTCATTTTAAAGACGTTATTTCAAAAGTCAAACCAGTTTTAGTTTTGGTCCTGATTTTTGGGTTCATTTTTGGTAATTTAAAAACAAGATAAATAAAGCTGCGACCTCAGTACATTCAAATTCTTGTAAGGATTTTGTGGGTATTTTCGATACCCATAGACTTATTCGTGGTCAATTGGGGTTATGCTAGAAAGATAGGGCGATAAGAAGAATAACTCAATCATTTGAGGTTTGACAGCTGAAGCTATTGGAGTTGTAGTAATTGGAACTTCGATACGAATATCCTAGTATTTTGTTTAATAATAATATCTAGCATAAAGTGGTGTGGATCATCAAATTAAATGACTATACTTTATAGGTTCAATTAAATGAGTAACGTGATTTTGCATTTAAATGAACGTATCATTTAATAATATATAGTTGCCACCTAAATTGTTGTTTGATACTGTAATGAATAACATTATTCTTTTTTGTTTTATTTTATTTGGTTGTTTTTAATTCTTATTAGCTTTGCTTATATACAACTATGGAGCATTTTGAATAATCCGGGCAATAGAGCATCCTTGAGTGTCTTCAATAGTAACTCTACTTCATTTATGAACATAACGTCAACCACAATTGTGCTAGTTAACCACTTAAGTGTTACTTTCTTCTTTTTCTTTGGTGAGGCTTCTAGTGTTCTCCATCCTAAGGGAAAGTTAACCCTTTTCAATATACGCAATCCTTTGGGTCAACCACTTAGCTAATGCGTCTCAACCTATTTAAGACATTTCTATCATAAAACTACACGCTCCAATCAAATATTAGGAGTTCTCTATTGAGTTAGATTGTAGCATGAATGAGCATGATTTCCTTCCTATTTATTTAATGTTCCTGATGTTGTTAATATTAGTGAGAAAGGTTACTTCTTTTGTTAACATCAAATACTATGTCTAATTATACCCTTTAGCAATATATTAATTTTATACCTATTTCACATTGTATATTTAAATATTAAGCATCTGGAAATAATTCGAGCAATAGAGCATTCTTGTTTATCTTCATTGATAGAAACTTTACTTCTTTCTTGAACGTGACATCAACAAAAAAGTGCTCATTTACTACTTAAGCGTCAATTGTTCTTCTTTTGTGAGGTTCCTAGTGCTTTATGTCCTAAAGGAAAGTCAACCCTATAAAATATAGGCAATCTCTTAGGTCGATCACTATTCATTCATCCATTTAGCTGATACTTCTCTACCTATTGAAGACATTTTTATTGTAACACTACATGCAGTGGCGAATCCAAGATCGGAGGTCAAGATACAAGCTGTGCTCATATCGATGCCTTGGATCAATCTAGGCTAAGAGCATAAGAAACAAATCCAACTTCACATAATTCTTATAATCAGAGAGTCGTTATCAAATAAAGCACATAATATCCAATATCAACAGCACATAGTGCGCAATTAACAATAGATATTTTGAACTCCAGCCCAAAGAAGAGTAACTCACAGCCTCAATCCAGTGTTAAAAAGACAACTTTTGTGTCGTTGCAACTTTAGACAAATCCTTGCCCTGTTGTCTACCTAGCCACGTATTTTGTCAATCCTAAATCAAATAATCGATGTCTTTTTCGTAATACGACCAAATGTTTAGACTTATTGTCTCCAGCCCTTTTCATTTTTTCTTCAGATAAAAAATTTCTTTAATTAATTACAAAAAAGAATCACATTTTTTTAACCTTTGAAGCATTCAAACTAACACGATTCTATTGTGACGCAGCTATTTCAGGCTTCAAGAAATTGAAAAAGGATATGACACTATGATTTAATCACGCATAACATATCGCTTGCCACCTAAATTTCAATAAAAAAACTACAGATAAAACTTTAGAAAACATTCTAAAATTTAGTAATTTACGTTCAAAGAAAATAGTACCAGAGCTCTTTAGCAAATATAGGAGAGTTCGATAAAATGCGTTGAGTGCGATTGCCTCGGTAACTGGAGACTTCACATCACACAAATTGCACGCATCAAGCACGAGGGGTTTCCTTTTACAATCACGTGATTTGGAGTTTTGAACCATTTGTTGTGGGTATTGAGTTATCAAAGATATATGGATTGGGCCAAGTGTTTTTAAATAAAAGAGGCCCATCACTGATCAGCAAAGGGCCGAACTAAAAAAATAAAAATAACCTAGTTGGCATTCATTTCCTCGGCTTCTTTCTTCCACAATCCCTCTTCTGCAATTGCAAGAGTGGCATAACACTTAACGGTCGGTGACTATTGAAAATTTTGAAGAAGCCAGCAAGCGAGGTCGCACCCCTCGTCGGGTGCTAGCTCTGCCACTGACTACATTCTTAATCAGCTATTAGGATTCTCTATCAACTTGGCTTATAATATCGTCTTGAGGTTTGTCGATATCAACTAGAATAACAATTCTCTCGTTCATTCAATAGTTGTTATTTTCGAGAGATACGGACAAGATGTTGCAATGGAGACCATAAATATGATCAAAGAAGATTACAATGCAAAATAAAGTCTCGAGATCAGTTAGACGGTCAAAATTTATTCAACGGACACTTCAGAAATTTCATACGTTGAAAATTGAGACATTCTCCTTTTGAGCCTACATTTAGGTTTAGCTATGGTTGACAATATCGTATGCTTGAGCCTTATACTCTTGAGTTTGTTTATTGGCGCAAGGTTCACAATTACTCTTTTAGAGACCCCATATGTTTTTCTATCCCATTGTTGAATTACTTTAAGCTTCTTTAGATTAAGGGACCTACCTCCCTTCATATATTTCATACAATAGCTAACTGTTTCTATAATGTTAATATATTGACTCCAAAATCTAGTTATGGTTAAGATCTTATCAAATATACTATATAGACTCTACTAGAAAGTACGAATTGCGCCAAGAAAGCATAGAGAACTTCCACATTAAAGACAAGAGTTGTGAATTATGGTATTTTGGGTATACGTCAACTTATAAAATTTTTTGAAAATTGTTAGACTTTTGATAGGAAAATTTTATTCGTTAGTTGGAGACTTACGATCTTAAACTACGAGAGTAGGACTTTGTGAATTGTGAGTACAGAGTTTTGCTTGTCTTTATGTGATATTTTAAGGTCTAATGAATAGAAGTCATACTCAAGATATACTATTGGATGTTATTTTCATTAGATCATCCTAGTGTGCATAACTACCTAATTTTGCACTTAATAAACATCTTCAGTTGGTAAGAGCTATGAGTGTTAACCTAATGTGCATATCACTTCTCGAGCGTGCTTTAAACATGACAATAGTGAAATCTACTAACGCTATAATTTGTTTGTTTCTCTTTGACAAAGTTACAACTAGATTAACAACTTGTAATAGTCTCGAACTTGGTCACAAACCTTTAGTTCCGAAAATGTTTTCCGTCCATTTAGGCATCCTTTTCATATAACCTTGCCAAGATTTTATCATTTTTAAGAACCACAAATTTTATCAATTTTTCAAGCACATATTTATCAAGTTTTTATCAAAATATGCTAAAGCTTTTCATACAAGTTGTAGAGAGACATGTATAAAAATAAAAGAGGAAACAAAAAATAAAAGAAAATGAAATAGGGAAAAAAAAGAAGAAAGTCAGAAATATCATATCCATGTACCATCATGAACTCACCCAACCCTTGCCCCAAATCACCTCCTTGGCTCCTTGTCTACCCAAGCCCTTTTCCTTCGTTTGGCCACTGTCATGTGTCTGGGTCCCCGTTCTTATCATCTATCCCCTAGTCTTGACACCTAGTTTTGTAAGTTTTTATCTTTACGTCTGTTGTCCATGACTCACTAGAGCTATTTCATTCTTTCTTTCATATTGTACCTAAATAATTTTGTAACTTTGCTATACGTACAAGGATTCTATTAACACCGTAATTGGCACCACCATGTACAAATAGCAAATTTTAAAATTTTGGTCGATCCTCTTGATTTGTTACTCTTTACTTTTGATTTTCTTCTATTTTTTTCTTGTTATATATTTTTTTTAAAATAAAAAAAATTAATAGCCAATTTTCGAAAAAGCTAAGGGTATAATTTGGCTCGTAGCTCAAAAAAATCGAGCCGAGGCTTAAGCGGAGCCCTATTTTGGAACGTTGACTTGAGCCCGAGCCAACCCATGTCACATGCCATTTTTCTACACGAGCCTTAAAAAATATACATATAAATAAAAAATAAAACGCCAATAGGTAACATTAAAAAAAATTAAACTGTTGCCTTAACAAGTTTAAGGGTAGTTCGAGTACTCCAGTCAGTTATGATACATTTCAAAATGTTCCAATTGATTTAGAGGATATCGAAGAGGAAGAAGCACTCAAGTTTACTAAAAGGTTGAAAAAAGAATTCTCGAATTATTGGTGATATATAACATGTAAAAAAGTTGGTGTTCAAAATTGAGTTGATATTTAAAAAGCATGTAATAATTACCGTGGCAAAGAACTTAATTGGAAGCCCAGTTCAAGCTTAACGCACTTGAATAGACACGTATTAAAGTGATGCAAAGCGAAACCATTCGGTCTCGACTTGAAACAAATTGAACTAGTGTTTGGTAGTTCTGATTCTACTTTTTCCATTTTTGTATATTTATAGGAAAAAATTCATGAATGAATGACCGCATATGTTGTTGCAGCAGAAATGCCGTTTATGATGATAGACTCAATATAATTTACACGACTCGTCTAAAATTATCTCTAACCCAAGTATACTTCTTATTGCAGAAATACTTTTCATTTAGATATTATAAAATTATATAATAAAAGAAAACAAGTTACTATTAAATAACTAAAAACTTTTAGTAGTGTTATATCATTTACCTCTTACTTTTAGTAGTGTTATATATATGTGTGTGTGTGTGTGTGTGTGTGTGTGTGTAGTTTTAAAAGATATTATACAAGAATATGGCATGCAAGAAATTGTTCGAAATTTTCTTTTTGATAATGCTAATGTGAACAAACATGATATCAATAAATTTATTAATGATCTTAACCCAGTATTTGGAAGT